CAGGGCAGGGACAGCACGGGGTTAGATACAGAGTAAAGCTCCCTCTACACTGTCCCCCCCATCAAACACTCCCAGGACAGGGACAGCACGGGGTTAGATACAGAGTGAAGCTTCCTCTACACTGTCTCCCATCAAACACTCCCAGGACAGGGACAGCAAGGGGTTAGATACAGAGTAAAGCTCCATCTACACTGTCCCTCATCAAACACTCCCAGGACAGGAACAGCAAGGGGTTAGATACAGAGTAAAGCTCCTTCTACACTGTCCCCCATCAAAGACTCCCAGGGCAGGGACAGCATGAGTAAAGCTCTCTCTACCCTGACCGTATGAAACATTCCCCAGAGCCGGGGCGGGGTGGGGGGCGCGGGGCGTTGGTGGGTGATGGGAGGGGGGAGCGTATATTGTACCTGGGATGCGCTTTCTGGGATTTTCACACCGCTCCTGAGATTACAGTGATGGGGTTGGTGGGGGGTGGGTGGTGTGGTGTTGCCCAAACCTTTCGGGTCAGTGCCCCAGGGCATGGCAGCGGAACACAACCCCTTCTGTGGCATTTGGGGGTGTGTGGTGGAGGGGGAGGTCTCTCGGCAGCGGGCACAGGTTCCCAGCCCCTGATGGAGGGTGGAGACGACCCTCTCCCACCCCCCCAACTCCGGTGCAGTTTGATGGTGTGGCTGGGGAGCAGTGTTGGGGCAGACACAGTGGGAGAGTTTGAGCAGGAAAGTGTCATTGTCAGAATTATAGGCGGCTCTCGGTTTCCTGCTGATACTGAAACCTGTCGCAGAGCCTCACCTTCCCACAGCAGTTGCACCGACCAACATGAACCCAGCTCGGAGCACCCCGTCTCCGCATCCCTCCGTCCCCTCTCCGCCTCACCCTCAGGTCAGGAGGGCATCTCTCCGGGAAAGGCCAGGGAAGCGTCAGGGTGGGGTGGGAGACAGAATCCAGGAGTTTGACTGGGTCAGGAATGGAGGGGAATTGGGCAAAAAGTGAGGAACCAGGGAGGAAGAGGAGGTTGGGGGTTTAGGGAAAAGTTGGGGGTTGGGTGGGGGGGAGGAGAATCTGCACGATCTGCATTTGGGTAGCCGCTTTTCTCTCATCTGGAAGTAACAGGCGACCCTTAAGCTGTCGGCCAGCGAGGTTGGAGGGGAGAGAGCATCTCAGAGAATCGGAGAGAGGCAGTGAGGGGGGTGGGAGGGTGGGTTAGTGAGGGAGAGAGAGAGGAAGAGGGAGAGGGAGAGAGAGGGAGAGAAGGGGAGGGAGACAGAGATAAAGGAGGGAGAGAGAGAGGGAGGGATGGAGGGAGAGGGGAGAGAGGGGGAGGAGAGAGAGAGGGAGGGAGAGAGAGGGGGGAATAGAGAGAGAGGGAGAGGGGAGAGAGGGAAGGTGAGGGAGGGGGGGGAGGAAGAGAGAGGGGGAG